AAGAACTAGCTAGGGCAGAGACTACGAGCTATTCAGAGGATCCAGTCTTGCCTTCTTCCATTTAGTAATCAGACCCCTCCCAACAGGTTTTGGCAGGGCATGTGCCCAGCTTCCCTGCGAGCAGAAGTAAAGCAGAAACTTTCAGGTGATGTCCTTAAAAAAAACACCAGCTCTTGCTCCTCTGCTTCTTCTGCCGCTCCCACCTGGCTTGGAAAGGGGACAACTGGAGTGGCTATAAAGTGACATCTTGGATTCATGAGTGGATACCTTGTTTTGATGATGACAATGCCAACCTTCCAGCCTTGGCACCCAATGACCTGTGGAGCAGTTCAACTACTGCTCTGTACCGTCCACCTGCCCACCTCTGTGCTGTTATCTAAAAGAGAAATAGAGGCCTATTTTGTTAAAGCCAATGCATTTGGGATCTTTTTGTACAGTGACTTAAGAGAGTTGCCTAACTAGAAAACCAAGTCTTAAAGAAGCACTGTTTGATAACCTCTGCATTACCTGCTTCAAGCCGTCGGCAGCACACACTTATGGAAGACCATTTTGCTTATGACATATGTCCCCATATGGTTTTTGCCTGCTTTTAAAGCTTTCCCATCCCAATGGACGAATCTGTAGCCTGGCTGGCTGAGAGTATTCAGAAAAGCTGGTTTGTCCAGTCAGTCAGATGCGAATTTCTGAACTGACACAAGAACATAAAGCAAATTAGTAGAAAATATGATTTCTGTTTCTTTTCCTCCTCCCATCATTTCCTGCTAGCTTTCACCTTTTCTTTATTCTCATTACTCTTTCTCACTTCTCTTTCTCCTTGGTTTTTCTCTGGAGTGCCTAAGTAAGTTGTTCAAACATGTGCCATTCCATGGGTTATCACTGATGGCTCATGGAAAAGTAGGAAGGCAAGCATCCAAGACACAGCTGACTTCTGGCAACTCAAGCACCAGGAAATGGTGAAGCCACATGAGAACTATACACTGTAGTAGGACATTTTCTTCTTGTTGAAGGATAATGAAAAGGGTGGAGAGTCACCTCCATAAAAAGCATCAGTAAGGGACTTCCCTGGCAGCTCAGTGGTTGTGTGTGTATGTTAGTTGCTCAGTCGTGTCTGACTCTTCACGACCCCATGGACTGGAACCCTCCAGGCTCCTTTGTCCATGGGATTCTCCAGGCAAGAATACTGGAGTGGGTTACCATTTCTCCACAGTTCAGTGGTTGGTACTCCACAATCTCAATGCAGGGGGCAGGGGTTTGAACCCTGATTGAGGAACTAAGATCCCACATGCTACCTGGCATGGCCAAGAAAATAAAAAAGCATCAGTAAAAATACTGATATATAGTGTTCAGTGAACCTTTTTTTCAAGTTGAAAACTGAATAATTGCCACCATTTGTCAGGCATAAGTCTAGGTGTCTCAATATATGGTCTCTTAATTTTTACAGAATCACTCAAGATAACCATTCTTACTCCCATTTTACAAATTAGAAAACTTGAGTTCAGACTGGTGGGATTTGAACCCAGCTTTAAAGGAAATAAGTCCTGAATATTCATTAGAAGGACTGATGCTGAAGCTGAAGCTCCAATTCTTTGGTCACTTGATGTGAAGATCTGACTCATTAGAAAAGACCCTGGTGCTGGGAAAGACTGAAGGCAGGAGATGGCATCACCAACTCGATGGACAGGAGTTTGAGCAAGCTGCAGGATCTGAGGATGGACAGGGAAGCCTGGTGTGCTGCAGTCCATGGGGTCCCAAAGAGTTGGACACAACTGAACGACTGACCTGAAGGGAACTGAACTTGACTATTTTTCCTCTTGTGTCACTCTGCCTCCCACTTTAGACAAGAAATATAAAGTGTTAAAAACTGGCCTTGGAAGATGTGTTTAATTTCATGTGTCAGCTTGGTTGAGCCATGGTTCCCAGATATTTGGTTAAACATTATTTTGGATATTTCTGTTAGTCTTTTTGGATGAGGTTTACATTTAAATGGATTGACTTTGAGTAAAGCACATTGCCCTCCATAATATGGGTGGTCTTGTCCAATCAGTTGAAGGCCTACAGAGAACAGAAAGACTGACCTCCTCTGAGCTAGAAGGAATTGTGCCAGTTATGAGCCTTTGGACTTGAACTGCAACTTTTCTCTGCAGCTCTACAGCCTGCTGGCCCACCCTGCAGATTTTGGTCTGGCCAACCTCCAAAACTGCATGAGCCAATTCCTGAAAAATCAATCTCTCTCTCCCTTTCCTTTTCTCCTCTTCCCTCCTCTTCTTCCTCCTCCCACTACCCGCCCTCTTCTTCCCCTTACTGTTCTCCTTTCTCCTCCTTTTCTTCTTCTTCTCTCTCTCTAAGAAGATAGGTAGACACACAGACAGACACATCTTCTTTATTCTGTCTCTCTGGAGAAGCCCAACTAATACGAGGAGGAGAGAGAATTATAAAATGGAGGGAAGAAAACAGTGTTCTCAGAAATGAATGGTAGTAGATTGCAGCTGAAAAGAACCAGAGAAGAGAGTAAAGGAAGCTGATTTACTGCTGTATGCTGCTCTGAACTGCTTTCCTGCCATCTTCAGGGATTAGTCTGAGGAAGGCAACATACATTAGTCTCTTTCTTATTTTCGCTCATTGTTACTTCCTCCAAGCCTTAGCACAATGCTTGGCACAGAGAAGACACTCAGTAGATACTTGTTGAATGAACAGATAGTGTACTAAGTAACTATGGTTCTGAGATGCCTAACAGATAGGCAAAAATCCAGCAGTGTAAATGACATATGTGTAAAAGTCCAGAGGTAGGACTGGAAGGACAGCTGTGCCATCTGCCTCTGGGCTTGGTGACTGCCTGCAATCCCACCATGCCCTCCAGGTGATGGGCAGAGGGAATACAGGGCATGCCTAATCCTTACAAGGGCAAGGCCTGAAGGTTGTACACATTGCTCCCCCTCACATCCCAGGATTGAGGATGCTAAGGATTGGCCAGGATTTAGTTGCAAGGATGCACCAAGCTGCAAAGAAGACTGAGGTCAATTGAATTATCTGCCTGCAGCTCTTCCTCTTCTCCCTGCCCTTGGCAAGGTTCACCAGGATGGAGAGTACTTCCCTATCCCATTGATTTGGGGCTTCAACCAGGGGCATATGTGGCAGAATTGACAGTATGTTAGCTCCAAGCCAAGGCCATGTGTTTCTGCTCACCCTGCCAACACAGCTGCCACCCTACACAGAGAAGAGCCCGCCCAAGGAGCCACTGGTCCAGAGAACAGGAGACGAGTGGAGCAGCCCTGACCCAGTGCACAGCCTGAAGCAGAGCTGCCTTGCCTCACCTGAAAGGAAGATAAATAGCTTTTTTTGGAGATTTCTGGTCACTTGCTATGCAGCATTAATGCAGCAGAAACCTAATGCAATGGCTATGGACTCAGCCTTAACTGAGGGGTTCTGCTGTTCACTAGGGAAAAATGCACATTAGTATACTACAAGCATTGTGTGGGTATAAGCAGGGCCCCTCCCTGGATGGAGCAGAGATAACCCAACCTGTAGGGGACTCCTTTATGAGTCCAGAGCATTGTCAAGCCAGTTTAGTTAGCATGAATATAATATAAGGGTGCATGCCTTCCTGGGACTGTCTCGTGTGGAAGCACTGAAGATCAGCTGACCTGGAGCCAGTCACCTTGATGACAGCAGAAGGGGGTATGGGAGAAGCAACTGTGTTTGGAATGGAGGCATCTTGGGAATAAAGTGCAAGCTGTGGGTTAGAGGAATGATAATATAGAAAGCTATCTGAAAACCAATTAAAATAGTTACATTACAACAGCAACGAAAAGCTTGAAAAGTTTTCACCATGAGTCAAGAAGTAGTTTTAATAATAGAAGCCTGAAATTACTGTATATTACCATATTAAAAAGTTGATTAGTGTCTACCTGTTGTCAATACAGCTGTAGAGAATGAAGCCATTCCTATCTGAATCCTATACAAGATTTGCAATGCATGGGAAATATAACTAATGCCTTGACCAGATCAGTCAAAATTTACTTATAAAAAACATTTTCTCCATGGTGCCTCAGTACCTGAATACTCACAGTCTGCACACCAAAAAGATTTTCAAAGGAAGTGACTCTGTGCTACTTGCTGGTTATTTTATCAACAAGAATTTAGGTGTACAGCAATGGTATCAAATTTTTTCTACATGGGAAATTGCTAGAGACCTGCAAGAGGTAAATAACTTTTGAAATCATAGCAATTTGGGAGTGACCACACATTTTGAAGGGCTTCCCTGATAGCTCAATTGGTAAAGAATCTGCCTTAAATGCAGGAGACCCTGGTTCGATTCCTGGATTGGGAAGATCCCCTGAAGAAAGGATAGGCTACCCACTCCAGTATTCTTGGGCTTCCCTTGTGGGTCAGCTTCCCACTGTGGCTCCGCCTGCAATGTGGAGACCTGGGTTTGAATCCTGGGTTAGGAAGATCCCCTGGAGAAGGGAAAGGCTACCCACTCCAGAATTCTGGCCTGGAGAATTCCATGGACTGTATAGTTCATGGAGTTGCAAAGAGTTGGACATGACTGAGCTACTTTCACATACATTTTGAGGTAAGTGAATTAACCCCTGATAAAGTACTGACTGCCTTTTGGAGACCAATTGAGGAAAATAAAAAACAGTTTAAAACATTTCTTCAAGTATGAATGTATCCTAAATTTTACCTAGATTTTTTTCTGACAATTTAAAAACACTTTAAGTTTTATTGTGAAAATTTTAAAACACTTTACGGTGAAAGAACCATGAAGGCCTTCCCTCTAAACAGAATGGTTAATATTTTACATTTGCTCTCTCTCTTCCCTGCCCCCACCACACATACACTGACATACATAAATTTTGAAACTAAGTTGTCAATATGACATCATGATCCTTAAATATTTCAGCATGAATCTCTTAAGAATAAAGACAATTACCTATATAAACACAATGCCACTATCACACCTAAGAAAAGTAATAATCATTCTACAATCACAACTAATATCCAAGCCACATTTAAATTTTTTAATTGTCCCCTGAAGATTTCTATGCAGTTTTCCCCACAATCTAATCAAGGTTTGTGAAGTTTTTCTGTAGATTAACCTGGAAAATCTCCCCCATCTTAACTTCTGTTTGGTTTTGACTTACAACATCAACTTTTGAAGAGTCCAGGCCAGGGGAATTATACAGTTGTACATTCTCAATTTGTCTGCTTTCTTCCTGATGGTGTTCTTTTTTACTTCTAAGCCTAGAAAAGAAAGTGAAGTTGCTCAGTTGTGTCCGACTCTTTGTGACCCCATGGACTGTAGCCTACCAGGGTCCTCTGTCCATGGGATTTTCCAGGCAAGAATACTGGAGTGGGTTGCCATCTCCTTCTCCAGGGGATCATCCCAACCCAGGGATCAAACCCAGGTCTCCCACATTGCGGGCAGACTCTTTACCATCTGAGCCACCAGGGAAGCCTATGTTGCCCTTAAAATGGAAATTAGGTCTGGAAGCTTGATTAGTTTGGGGTTAAACACTGTTTGCAAGAATGCTTCAAAGCATTCTGAAGAGTTCCACCTCATAAATGTTCATCTTCATTCATCTTATGAAGAGGTCCATATGTTAGGTTTTTCCACTACTGGTGACGCTAATGGTGACTGGGTGGAGATAGTGGCTGCCATACCTCCATGGAGAAGCACCTGCCTGGGAACAAAGACTGAGGCAAAGTTTAATGCTAGATACATGCAAAGTTACATGCTACATGCACACATAAACATACATGTTTTATGATGAGTACAATCTCATGGGAGCAAAAAAAAGCAGGGAGGGAAGAATTGAGGCAGAAAAGGAGGGAAACAAATAAAAAGTGATTTATTGCTGAGCTGGCAATGACTTCACAAGTGCCCTGCTTGTCACTTTGTCATGTGCGACATCTTTGGAGTTGCTGCATGACACCTTCACATCCTGGAAGACTCCTCCAGGGAATCAACACTCCTATGGCGTGTTGATGCATCTGTACTTCTGGACTGTTACCAGGTGCCTCTGGGCAGCTACTGGAAAAACCAGGGCCTCCATGGGTCCCACTGCTTTGGACCCAGGCATGGGAGCTGCTGCAGCTCTGACTCTGGTAGGTGTAATGACAGTCATGTCAAAGCAGGGACATCTGTTATAGGAGGTGAGGTGACAAGGTGGAGGCTGGAGCTTTACAACTGTCACTGGGCCACTCTACCCAGCAATCTGGGCAAGTGGGTCCCCAGGGACAGGCAAGGCCAAATGCATATGTGGGGGTGGGCATACACTGCATTGGGTATCAAAGGAACAACTTTCCCTTTGAAATTAGTAATGATCTGTGGAGTGGTACTCCCCCACTGTGTGAATAACCTATTGCCCAACTACCTTTCCTGTAGTGATTGTAGTACCATTTGATTATCCTTGCTGTGGCAGTTATTTTATTAGGAAATGCAAAATAAGGGGACTAGCTAGGCTCATTGCCACTAGAATATAATTTTTAGGATCTTTCAGGAACACAGCTATTTCATATGTATATGTATGGAGAGCAAGGAGGTAGAATATGAATTATATGAGCTTATATTGCTATTGGTATTTAATATTTAACAGTTTTTCTTAAATTCTCCTTTATTTTTCCCCTCTTATACTGGAAATTCCTGGTTCCTAATAAAATGTATGTGCAGTCAGAATAAGAGTGTTTAGTTTATCCCAAATAAGCTTCTTTTTTCAATGGTGGGTGAAAGAACAAATTTAAAAAAAAGTGGAACAAAAGGTTCCTCCAAAGCCCAAACTTAAGGCAATTTCCTTTTAAGAATTAACCCTAATTCCGAAAAAAAAAAACTTAAGGGTCAAAAAACAAAAACGGAAAAAAAAAATTAAGCAAAAAAAGCCCAACCCCAAGAAAAATAACCCCAACCCGGTCCAAACCAACCCCTAAAAGGAAACAACCTTAACCCGTTCCGGGTTCCCCTTTCCCAAAACTTTTGGGGGAGGGGGCAAAAATAAGCAAATACATATGTACATCTTCATTTCCCCTTCTTTCCTACACAAAATGTGACACGGTATATACTCTGTCTTCTTTTTACTCTTAATATATATCAAAGGACTCATTCTATACTTTAAGGTTCATAGATACCTTAAATGCTAAAATTTACTGTTTTCTATCTGTATCTAAGCTTCTATATCCAAGTATCTATAGCTACCTACATTTAAGAAAAATACACTTAATATCTCAAATGCATTGGTTACAGTGTTTGCATGCATGCTAAGTCACTTCAGTCACTTCAGTTGGAAGAGTCACTTCCAACTCTTTGTGACCCTATGGATTGTAGTTTGCCAGGCTCCTCTAGCCATGGGATTCTCCAGGCAAGAATACTGGAATGGGTGCCATGTCCTCCTCTAGGAGATCTTCCCGACCCAGGGATCAGACCCGAGTCTCTTACGTCCTTCTACATTGACATGCAGGTTCTTTACCACTAGCACCACCTGAGAAGCCCACAGGTCAGAGTTGGCTAGTCAATGCTGTAGTAACAAACTTCAAAATCTTAATGGCCTTAAAGAATAAAACGTGAAAGTAAAAGAATCACTCAGTCATATCCGACTCTTTGTGACCCCATTAACGGGGTCACATTAACTGTACAGTGTATGGAATTTGGAATTCTCTAGGCTAGAATACTGGCGTAGGTAGCTGTTCCCTTCTCCAGGGGATCTTCCCAACCCAGGGATCGAATCTAGGTCTCCCTCATTGCAGGCAGACTCTTTACCGTCTGACCACCAGGGAAGCCCGAGAATACTGGGATGGGTAGCCTACGCCTTCTCCAGGGGGTCTTCCCGACCCAGGAGTCAAACAAGGGTCTTCTGCACTGCAGGCAGATTCTTTTCCAGCTGAGCTACCAGGGAAGAAAGAATCAAAGGTTGATTTCTTGCTTACACAGTCTTAGGTGAATTGAGCAGTCTTCGTCTTTCAGCCACACGACCTAAAACATATGTGCTCTATGGGAGCCAGGTTAGGTAGCCAGGCCTAGAGATAGCCCACACCACAACCCAGTCACACAGCCCCAAACTAACTAAAGGGAGGTTGAAAATGTACTGTCAAGTTCATAAAGAGGAAACAGAAATGGACTTTGGTGAATATATAGCAGGCCAGTCTTTATTCTTTCATATAAACTCCACAGGAGCTCTTCCAGTTAGGTACTTTCCCCCTCATCTTACATTTAAGGATGTTGAGGCTCTAAGGCGTTACGTGCCTTTCAAATTCATAGTGTGGTGTGTGTCACAGTGTGCTGTGTGTCAGAATTAGTTTCATATCCTGGTGTATCTGCCTCCAAACCCTGTACATTCCATGGCCAAACAGTATCTCCCCACTGAAAAAGCATGGCAAATCCACTTCATTCACATATAAATGCAAAATTTGAAGAAAGAGGTTGGAGCAATTGGCACAAGGCAATAAGTATTTAGACTTAATATTAATAAGCTATTTCCAACAAAGAGTGAAAGATAAAAATTAAGTCTCTAAGAACAATAAAAACTAAAACATCACAGGACAAAATGTTTCAGTAACACTGGATGATGAAATAGCTTCATTTATAATTTCTGAATCAAGAGCTATTTGTTATAGGAATTTTTTTAAAATTCAAAATACAACTGCAAACATTTCTTCTTCCTCTTTCTAAGTAAAAGCATCATATATTCTTTGCATGAGAGAAATTATGACTCTGTCAAAACCATTTAGGGTAGCTTTGGGGAATTATCCCAAGTAATCTCCATGGATTTTTCAGTGAAAAACCTTGCCTTTAGAGGAAATAAAACAAATGTTAAAAACCACTATGGTTTTCTGTAAAGCAATTATCCTTCAATAAAAAATAAATTAATTAAAAAAAAAACCCACTATGACCATTTGGACAATGCCTTTAGTCCCACATTATAACTTATTAATGCCTAAGACCAGGTGCAACAATGTTCAATTCCAGTGTATGCTTTTAATAAGTTATTACAGTACAGTAAACAAAATGAACAAACCTGGGAACTTTAAATGATTTAAATTAAGCATTGGCCATTTATATGCAGGGACTGAAGATTCCATGAAAAGATAAGATGGTTCTGGAGGGTGATTTTTCCAGAACAAGGCAAGGCTTACCCTAACCCATGGGTGAAACCAACTCATCCTGGCTGTTGATCCAATAGTTTTCACAATAATGCCCTGCAAGCCTCAACATCATCATTAGTGTCTTTCAAACATTTTGGACCCTGACTATAGTAAGAAATATCATTAGCCATGTGCACACACAATGACTCAGAGACACAGGATTTTTTTGAGATAAAATGCAGGCAGTAGAGAAGCAAATGGCAACCCATTCCAATATTCTTGCCAGGGAAATCCCATGGACAGAGGAGTGTGGCAGGCTATAGTCCACTGGGTCACTGAGTCAGACACGACTCAGCAACTAAATGACAAACAACTGTGTGCATGCCAGTGGTGGGTGTAAGGTAGGTAGTAATCTGATTTTACTCTTTCAGGAAAGAGGAATAGCTGTCCTTTGGCTGTTTCTTACCACACATGCTCCCAGTACATTGTTTATAAAAAGAATTGTGCAAAAGTATAAAATCACACATAGGAAACCTTCGGTAGTCATGGATTATTACATAGAATTTACAAAGATAATGAATGTTAAATGTTCACTGAAATTCTGTGGAACTGTCTAATGAAAAAAATCAGTTTATATTTTGTATTAATACTCTGCTTCTAGAGACAGTTGTAATAGAATTACAGATTGAAGATTGTCTTTTCTTTGTAAAATTATCATTTTTAAAATCTAGCAAACATTTTGTTTTCTTTCTCTACTTCAGGTCGAATCTCAGCCAGTTACTGATTTCTCCCGCTTTATCTTTTTAAAAACCTGCTTACAAAAGCCTGTTTCATATAGATATGAAATCGTTCTAAGAGGGTTAGGCTTTGTGAAGGATGGAAAATAGATGTGGATGTGATGCATGAGTTTTTCTTTCCCTATTGTGTCCTGGAAGCCTTTAATGTAGTCTTTCAACCTCTATGTTCCTGAGGTATGTAAGTGAGAGAACTAAAACCCATCCCAGGCAGTGACAAGGTCTAGCTCTGGCCATGGGAAGCTATAGCTGACTGTGTGGGCTTGTGGGCATAGTCTCCCCATTGCCTATCATGGGAATTCCATGGGCCAAGTGAAGGTCAACATTGTGAACGTTTAACAGTTCCTGTGTCTGATGAGATTGAGTGTGAAAAAGGAAAGAAGGAACACACTTGCTCAGAACTGTTAGTGGATTGTGTAGAAGTGACAGAATCGTTAGTGGACTCAGCTTCCTTCATTAATGTGTGTCCTAGACTTTCTCTTGTGTCTCCATCCCTGCTTTATAAGAAAAAGTCTGCCCTCTGTTCTGTTTTGTTTTTGTTTGTTTAGTTCTTTTAACTCTAACACATTTATTCTGTATGTAATTGTCATACTTTGGGGGGCAAATCAGAAACAATCTTTATGAAGCTCGAAGAATTTTTAGTGAGTAGAGGAACAGTAATGAGATATTTGAGATACCTTGCCAAAAAGGCTTGAGAATGTTGCCAGATTAATAATCATATATTTTAGAATGTAGGTTACCCAAAGGAGTAGGGTGAACATGAATAGCTTTATTACTCTTGAGAATACTTGGAGAAAGATATCCTTTGCTCATGTCAAGGTTGGTGTGGTTGAGCCGTGGGGTCACTGCGAAGCTGTGTCCCACAGGCCTGTGCTCATCAAAGGCTAAATACCTGAGAGAGAAAGTTCTCTACACTTGGTTCATGGCAGACAGTGTGGGCAGGAGACACACACCTTAAGAATTCACCTCTGCTGAGGTGATGTCCTGTCATGTCTACTGTATTCTTGGGCTTCACCTGTATTAACAAGTTTTGTACTGATAAAACCTTCTAAAAGCCTCAGTCAATGAGCTTGTACCATCTTGCATATGTACAGGAAACCCATCCTTTCTCCTAGTGTGATTACTCATGTACAATATCATTGTGTAAAACTGATTAAAAAGGGAGAGCAGTTGAAAAAAAAATACAGGCAGTACACTCTGATCCCCTTCCCTAATCCACCCTATCCCCTACTCAAAATGCTGGCATGACCTAGGTTCACAAGCTGCAGGAGTTGTGGCCCACAGTTTGAAACCCCTGAGTTACTGTCGGTTGCTTTGGCTGGCCCATCAAATCAGCCTGTATAGTATATTTCTTTTTTCTTGTCTCTCACAGCTCCCAGAGGGAAGAGGAGCCAAGTGCTTGGAAAGGGAACTGTCACCTGGGAGTCAGTAACCAAATCCCAGAGCCTGGAGAACTCAGCACCACTTCTGGAAGTTCCCACAACTGCCCAGACATGACAAGACCCTACTACTTTAATACCATCCTCAAAAATGTTGAGGTTCACTTAGCATGTTGTCCTGTTACTAGAAATACCAGATTTAGCAAAACAATTAAAAAAAAATCAGGACAGCCAGTAAAATTTGAATTCCAGATAAACAAGGAACAGTCTTTTTTTAGTGTTAAGTATGTCTCATGCAATAACAATTATTCCTTGTTTGTCTGAAGTTCAAATTTAATTGGGTGTCCTGTGTTTTATCTGGCAACTCAACTGGCTGTACACCCTGTCTCTTTACTTTGAAGGTCCTAAATCTGATGGATGCATGTAGGCTGGACAGGATGTGGGCATCGTTGCTGGGAAGAAGGGGGAAAATCTGGCTCAGCCTCCTTCCACGCCCCTCAGTTTTCGTTGCTGGCCACACAGCCCACAGGCCCTTGATGGACCTCATCGGGAGAGCACCCTCTCAGACAGGGCAGTAGATTGGTAAGGTGGCACAAACCCTGTTCCTGCTCTGTCCCCTTGACCTTGGGGTCCTCCCGCACCTTGGCATGCCAGGCCTCCAGCATGCACGCTGCACTGCCACTCTAGCTCTGTGGCAAAGGGAGAGTCACCAGCCCATTCAGCTTTTGAATGGAACCCCCGTCTCTCCTTCTTATAGTCACTCCAATCTGTGCTAGTGATCTGCTCGGGGAGGGAGAGCCCCGCTGGAACAGAACTCACTTCCTACTTCCCTCCCCCAGAGCCTACACCCCCAACCTCCCTCTTGCATCCCCTTGCCTCCAATTCTAGATATCCCAGAGAAAAGTCTTGCCTTTCCATCAAAGCATACTCTCTGACCCATGTAGGCCAAGTCTGTTCATCCCCTCAGAATTAAGACCACTGGACTTGGTTTTTCTTCTCATTTTCCCTCTCCCACTGCCCCAGCAGGAAATCGGTAAATTTGAAATGGCTCACAAATGGATGGTTTACTGAAGTGATTTGATCCTTCCTGTGTCCTTGCTGTTTCAACAGTTCCCTTACATTTGGTTAATAGGAAGGACAAATATCACCTTCTGGTCAAAGCTTCAGGTCAAGTTCTGAGCTCTGGGGCCCAGCAGGGCCTTCTTCCATGGCCTGGGTTGTGTTGCGAGGCTGCTGACCTGTTTCTTCAATGGGCTGTGAGCAGCCTGAGAACAGGTTTTCCCAACATCTGTGGAAAAACACACGAAGAGGAGTCTGCCGTAGCTGGACAGAGGGGCAGTTGAAAAGTATGGGCCATGGTCCTTGTTATACCTTCTGTTTGCTTTCATAAAACTTTTCAGTAAACACATCTTGTTTCCTCTGACTACCAAGACCCAGCAAGATCTGCTGCCTCAGCCACATTTCCTTCTGGGGTTTTCTCTCCCTTTGTTAACACTTACTTATCCAGACCTTTCTGCCAGGGCCATCTGGGTCTCCCAAGATGGCATTAAAAAAGAAAGAAAGAAAGAAGCTGGGACTTCCCTGGTGGTCCAGTGGCTTGGCTAAGACTCCATGCTCCCAATGCAGGCACCCTGGGTTTGAGCCCTGGTCTGGGAACTAGATCCTACATGCCATAACTGAGTTCGCATGCCACAAGGAAGACTGAAGATCCTAAGTGCCACAACTAACACCTGGTGCAGCCAAATAAATAAATAACTGAAAAAGAAAGAAAGAAAGAAACTTATCATTGCTAATGTGTAAATGATTGTCATTGGGATACACTTAAATTTTGCATTTTAAAGGAACTAACAGGTATTATTAAGCTCTGATATATGTGCCTCACACTGTTAATATTGCAGAAGGTTAAGATAGAACTTCCTTCATGTAAGAGTCATACTGGAAGACAAGATTTAAATACATGAAGTCATTTAAAAATGACCTAAAGAGACTGGCAGATAATAAAATGCAATTCAAATGGCTTATAAAGGTCACATAATGACACTGTGTTTCATCATTTGTGAAAGATTTGATAAGGTTATTCCTAAAGTTTATTTATTCCAAACAAATCACCAAGGAGAACTTTCAAATTTTACGTGTAATAAAATAACATGGTACTCACTATGTACCAGGCACCATTGCTGGCAACTCCTCCAGTCTTTACAAGAATACCATGAGGTGGCCATTAATCATTTCCCATTTGTCAGGTGGGGGAACTTATGCGTCGAGAGGTTAAAGAATTGCCTCAGAACTTTGTGGCAGAGCTGGCAGCTGAACTCAAGGCATGAGGATCTTGAGTGTGCACATAATGATATGCCATGGCGTCTCTGAACACAGACCTAAACTTGCACTTTTCCATACTTTTCAGATTGTGCTTCCTTACTTTTAAAATGGGAAAACAATGTATTATTCTTGGAGTGCCTATTTTATTTTCCATTACCCCACACTTGGCCCTCTTGGTTCAATCTTGTAAAATCTACAATCAAGTTTCTAACATTTTCTTGGCTCTCTCTCTTCTCTAGGGATCTGTTTGAGTGGACTCTGTAAACTTCACTCAGATTTGAGCCCAAAGTTCTGCCTTATCCACTATATCATGTTTCTTTCTTCTTTTGCTCAAAATTTATCAGGTTAAATCTTCAACATTTTACATTTTTTTCTACCTTTCTTAATTTCTATTCCACAGCCTGCCTGGGTTTCCACATAGGATTTCACTGAGACTTCGATTTCCTCTGTGGCCGCTCACATCTACTGCATCCAGCAGCTGTTCATACTCCACTGGGGTCTCTCAGGATACTGCTGGGGGTGAGGTGGAACTGAGAGATGAGCAAAGGAGTAACACTAGGGACAGCCGTACAATGAATTCCAAGGCAAAGACGAACAAACCAGTGCTGACAATGACTCAGGTTTCAAGGAGGAAGAGGCATTTGAGCTGGTAATAAAAGGCTTCTGCAGACTTTGGTGGGTTGATAAGGAAGACAGGGCACCCCAAGCTGAGGGCAGGGAAGTGAATCTGGAGTCTCTGTGTTCCTCAGACCAACCATCTGTGATCTCTTCCTTGGAACAAATTGCCTCTGGTTTCCAGGTATTGACAAAGCCCAGAAAAATGCAAATCAAATGTTTTTCTTGAAACATTGGCCTCACTCTGGGTTGTAGCTGAGTAACAGGATCCATTTCATACATCAACTCAACTCTGTACAGAAATTCCAATTGTTTTTCACCCACTCAAGACGGCATGTGAGAATGCAAGCTTGATATTCCCCCTGACATGACCTCAAATGGATCTGATTTATTTAGAAGCACCAATCATCTGAAAAGGTCAGTCCTTTAACAGTTACCAAGAATGAAATCAGTGCATGATACAATGCAGAGGTGATTGTCATACAGCAGTGAAATAACTGGAAGGCAGCAGGCAGAATGGATTATTAACTCCAAGAAGCTCATGGTCCCTTAAAAAATTTTGTTTTTTGCCTTGAACAGTTTCCAGGTGATACCTGATGAGTGTTTTCTGGGAGTGTAGGGTTGCCTTTAACTTCTGTTCTTCCACTATTCTAGAGGAGTCTAGTATTGGTTTGGGGGGCATGGGGGTGGGGAACATGTGTACCACACCTTTGTCACAAAATAAGGTGGAAAACAGCAACTCACATACTGAGCAAAAGATCAGAAATGATACTTTCAAACAGACTAATGTATGTGTTTCTCTTTTCATGATTAGTAAAGACTATTACTGACAATTATTTAAAATATTTCTAAAATTAGAAATAGTTGTTCTGGTTTAAAACCCATTTCAAAAGAGATAAAGGAATTATGATGAGGTTATAGTTTTGATTTGGAGGTATTAGTTTTCAATTGTTTTCCCCAAAGTACTTCTTAACTGCTCCTACATGAGGAGGAGATGCTTTAAAGGGTTTGACTGGGGTGTGTGAAACCTGGTAACGGCAATCAGGATCAGCATACAAACTGCTGGCACCGGGCCCAGTTTAGATGATAAAGATTAGAAATATTCCTATTTGAACTTGGTTCTGCTTCAAGTAGAGAAGGATATATGACCCCTAAATCAGGGGTTCCTTTCTCCTGGTTCCCTTCAAAACCTACCTTCAGGAAATACTCCATATTAATTTTACATACTTCTTGTACTTCTGCATTGTCCTCAGTGTTTTACTTGTAAATTTTTTTGTTCTTGAGAACCAGTCTCCTCTCTCCTGTGACCTGATATATCCTAAAGGCAAAAGACACTTCTATTTCAGACTGTTCTCCCTTGACTGCCCTTCTCCCTCTCCTCCCCTCTCTGCACCACTCCCCACTAGTGGAGGCCCTACAGGAAAACCTCAGCTTCCTGGCATCAGTATTTGAAGTTTCAAATATTCACTAGGTAACTGGACAACCCTTTCTGATGGAGCTGGTCTAAAGGAATATTGACCTAAGAATGCTGCTGGTTTAAATGCAAATTCACAGATTTGAAAACCAACCAATCGATCTAGTAACAATCAGAACTTCTAATATGGTTAAAGAGAGGTGTTTAAAAGCAGACTGGATTTCTGTATGACATGATCACACTCTGAGAGTCCTGAAAAAGAGAGAGGCCAGGTGGAAAATGGGAGCAGCTTCCTAAGGGAGGGGATACTCAGGGCTTTCTCTGTTCTCAGATGGAAAGGGCATTGAGGGGTCCTCCCCTGAAAGCTCAAAAAGACTAGCACCCTGGCATACTGATTGCTATCTGGAAACTTCTAAATACCACAGATATTTACATAGCTCTTTTCAGTTCTAAAAGGGTTCCCACAGCCTTGGTTTCATTTGATCCTCATGAATGCGTTGCCAAGAATGAAGGACAGATTTCACAACCTGAGCCTTGGAAAAGGAAACCAAATCTCCCAAGTCCACAGAAATCAGAGGAGCCAGAATCTGAGCTAGCAGGTAAATGTTCATTGCATTGAACAAATTCAGAAACAGATGAGTATTATGAGGTAAACAGGGTCTCTTCTTGTAAGAAGCTCATAATCTAGTTGGGGAGAAATGCTCCAAATGAATATAATTAAAATAATACTAGGATTAAATAAGGAAAGACCAGACACAAGGCAGTAAGTGCATCCTTCATTGTGAAACAAAGCAAGGCAGTGCTATGACTTTAAGTGTACTTAAACAGCTTTCATCCCATGGTTAAACTGAAATTCCCAAGTGTCCTCCATCTTTCACCCCACCTTCATCCTAAGTTTCTGCTTAATATTCTGGGTTTCACTCGAATTCCCTATGGCACACTACACAGTCTTCTACACCTCAGCTACGGAGATGTCTGGGCTAGTCACATCCTCTTTAGTCCCATATTTGCAGTGTAACTC